ATTCCACATATGGCATGACAACCAAGGCTCCCATGGTTGGATATGAATTTTGGCTTCTATTTTAAAACTTGATAGGAAACTAAGGTTGTCAGGTTTAACTATAAAACTATTAACATTTAGCCAACAGATGGTCAACTCTAATAGCCTGATAACTATTCAAAATACCTAAATTCAAATATAAACTGCTTCATCAAATGAGCATTTCTCAAAAATCTTCTTTCCCTTGTATAAATCCTAGTGAGATTTAGTCAAATTTGTTAGATCACAATATTCATTATCAATTGCTTTCTTGGGTTACCCAGAATTCTAAAGCTTAAGACCGCACTAATTTCTAAAAGATTTAACTCAAAATTCATCCAGGTATTCTACCTTGAATAGTTCCAAGATCAGAAAATGTAAAACTTTTACTAATGTTTCTAAATTTGTTTATAGGTATAGATTCACTGTACTAGTTCCTCTGCTTCATATTATTCAAGATAAACTGTTAAAAAAATAACCTGGAGTTGTGGACAAATTAGCTAATAAAAGAATAGAAATGTCAAAAAAAAAACCACACAAAAAACCACTTATTTTATAAACTGCATACAATTTTAAAGTTCTTTAAATTCCAGATCTGATTTTTAAAGAACACTCTGTAGATATGATTTGGGTATATCTGACTTTCTTTTAACCAAACACTATACTAACTCAGGTGTGTGTAAGAACGATGAGGCAGAAATACAAAAAAGTTGACAGGGTTCTAGACCCTAAGTATTTTTAAAGTGAAAGCTAATTTAGCATATTAAGACAAAGACGACAGAAATAATATACATAATTTTATTACAAAATTTTTTTTAAAAAACAAAATGCAACAGTCTAGAAAACCCAAAATTTACTATTGATACTAATTCCTATGAGTTTGCTGTGCTACCATACACAAGAAATTAAAGAAACCATTAAATATTTAGAAACATTTAACATCAGAAGCCTTAAAATCTAACTGTATGTAGTAGCCCCTCAAAAAGCTACAACCTGCATTTTTTTTATAAAAGTATTTTCTCTACAAAGAATCTTATCAGCTATACAAAAATCTGTACAGTTTTTATACTGAAGCTAATATTGAGCTGCACTTGAATTCACATTCTTAGCAAAACAATTGCCTGAGAGCACACACACATACTCCGCACACATCATTACAGGACAGCCTTTATTCTTCATCTTCATCCTCCTCTTCATCATCATCATCTTCCTCTTCCTCCTCCTCCTCATCTTCTGGTTCGTTTTTCTTCTTTGAGCCAGTTGGCCTGCCAGGGCCCTTCTTTCCCACTTCACTTTTGCCCTTGGCACGGTATGCAGCAATATCCTGAAATATTGTCAAGAGAAGAAAATCACATCCGGTGTCATTTCTCAACTGAAAACCACTACGTGTAAACAATCTAACATTATTGACCAATAATCTGGCTGTCTAAAAAATTATTTTTGAGAGCATTTGTTCCCTCTAGGCTTTAGGAAGCTTATGATGTAAAACCATGGGGTGGCATTCGATCAATGTCAATACTTTCACTACTAACATCCATTTACCTCACTTAGTTCCCCCCCCCCCACCCTTCAACTTCACATTTTTTATGTACCTACATAAAATACATTTGGCCCTCCACTTTTTCAAACTAAGAGGCCTATATAACCACAAAGGAGTCTCTATGCAGGAACCTACCAGTGCTACAACACTGATTTCAGTCAAAAGGAAGGAGATTTCTCAATTAGTTTGTTCTGCCTAAGTTGTGCAAAGCACAGCTGACAGCTATTAATACATGATTATCTACACTTCCCAACTTTCTACCACTTATATCTACTTCTAACATACTTTAGAAAATATCTACCTAATTTCAACCCTGGCTTTAAAAAGTGTACCTTTTCATATTTCTCCTTTAGCTTAGCTGCTTTTTGTTCATATGGCTGCTTATCTTTGGCTGATTGTTCAGACCACATTTCACCCAATTTTTTTGCAGTATCCCCGATGGATAAACCAGGGTGTTCACTTTTGATCTTTGGGCGATGTTCAGAGCAAAACAGGAAGAAGGCAGATCTGAAAGGAAGTAACAGAGTTAATAAACTGAAAAATCAAGGGGCAATTTGAGCGATTCAAGAAAACAAAAACAAAAAACTTACGGAGGCCTTTTAGGAGCATTGGGATCTTTTTTCTTCCCTTTCTTGTCACCTTTGGGGGGGACATAATTTTTCATCTCCCGGTCATAGCGAGCTTTGTCACTCTTCGCCATATCTTCGAACTTTGACTTTTCCTTGGCAGACATGGTCTGTGAGCAGGACGACAGCAGTTAGAAACACAGCAAAACTGTAAGCTATACACACCCCAAAGGCCATCTTAACGGCCACATTTTCCGAAGTAACAGCATTTTGCTTTAGTGCTCTTAAGCAAAAACCTAAAGTAACCTGCCTAAAACTCTCCACAGAATATTCGAGCGAGTCCTCAGGCTAGAGAGCTGAAAGTCACAAGTCAATTGCCTGCCTAGTGTCCTGGCCCCCGAACACACCTGAGAACTCTTAGCTCGCGTCTGCATTCCGACTCACCTTCCATTTCTCGGAACATTTCTTGGAGAATTCGGAGAAATTGACGGAAGAGTCGGGGTGTTTCTTCTTGTGCTCCTCCCGGCAGGTCTGGACGAAGAAGGCGTACGAGGACATCTTGCCCCGCGGCTTGTTGGGGTCTCCTTTGCCCATGATGACAGACGGCGTCCTCCTGGTGGTAGGTTTTCCTCAGAGTCCCGCCGAGCGGCCGGGTCCGACCGAGACGCTCCCGCTCCCTCGCTGGGCTCCGGCGTGAACTGGTTTCCATTATAAACTTTTGAACAATAATAGATACAGAGGCAGAGCTGCCTCAAACAGATTGTCAAACTGCAGCGGGAAGGCCGGGGAGGGTTGGGGGGGCAGGAGGGAGGCGGGTAAGAGATCAACCGAAGGACTTGTATGCATGCATATAAGCATAACCAATGGACATAAGACATTGGGGGGTAGGGGAGGCCAGGGGATTGTCAAGGGCAGGGAAAAAAAGGAGATATATGTAATACTCTTTGTAATACTTTAAGCAATAAAACAATAAAAGAAAAAAAGAAAAAAAATACAATTTTGCCCTAGCTGATTTGGCTCAATGATTACAGTCTCGACCCAGAGACTGAAGGGTCGTGAGTTGGATTCCAATCAAGGACACATACATCTGTTTCAGGCTCAGTCCCTGGCCCAAGCTGGAGACCGTGTGCGGGCCGGCTGGGAGGCTGAGGGGAGGGAACGGCAGCCCGCACACCCAGGGCCGCAGAGGGGATTCTTGCCTGGTGGTAGGTTTTCCTCAGAGTCCCGCCGAGCGGCCGGGTCCGACCGAGACGCTCCCTCGCTGGGCTCCGGCGTGAACTGGTTTATCGCTAAGCCAATCCTCAGCCTCTTGTTTTGCAGACTTCTCCGCGCCACCGCAACTTGACGAGCTGCACCGCAGGCCACACCCCGCCTCTGTGATTGGGCATGGTGATTATTCAAACTCGTCGAAGCCCCGCCCCCTCCCAGCGGAGGTTTCCTATTGGTCGCCATCTCGCCGGGCCCGTCCCCTCGCCCCCAGCCTAGCAGGTTCGGTGGGTCGCCCAGGTCGTTAACTCCCAGACCCGTTAGAACCGGTCAGGGGAGGAATGCACTGCTCGATCCTGATTGGCGGCGGGAAGCGGGTTTGAAAAATGGCGGGCCTGACGCTGACTGGCTAGGGCAGTAAACTGGGGGGAGCGGTTGGCCCGAAAGGGAAAGCCCCGCCAGATTTAAAAATACCGAGTCGCGAGCTTGGGGGTTGTTGTCGAGCGCTGGCGGCGGCGACCCGCTTTGCGGCCGCTGAGGGAACTAGCAGCCTGCCCTGCCCCGGCTCGACCGCTTTC